GCCGCCCGCTTCCTCGGGCCAGGCGGTCGTCGGTGGAATCCATCGCCCCGAAGCAAGCAAGCCGGCGGAAACCCCCTCCTCAGGAAAGCGGTGGGGGGCGCAGGTCGTGCCGAGAGGTGAGCGCGAGGGCCCCGGTTAGGGGATATTTTTTTTCGCTTTGTGCGTGGCGGGTGTGGTGCGGAGGGGGGGGAGCAGGGAGGGAGGCGGGTGAAGAGGGGCAGCAGGAGGAGGAGGAGGGGAATGGGAAATGGCCGCGGAGGTGGCTGGGGGCTCCGGGAAGAGAGCGAGCGCGAGAGCGAGCGGCGTTTGATTTGGCGGCCTGACAGGACCAGGCAGCGACGGGAAGGAAGGGGGGGGACGGGTCCTGAGGCGACCAGGGAATAATCCCGGGTGTATGTGTGTGTGTGTGGGAGGGGGGTTTACTTTGGGTCCCTCAGGAGGCGAGAGCGAATGGTTGTTTCCGGTGGCAGCCGGGCTTTCTCCTGCTGCCTCTCTCCGTCTCTCCTCCCTAAACACGTTTGGAGATAATAAAGTTTGACCAGTAATTGGACAAGGGGATGGCAAGGCAGGGCGAGCAAAGTTTGCATTCACCCACTCAACACCCACACCCACGCACCTTTCCCTCCCCCTCGGTGCCTTGTGTTTTCGTCGTACTGGCGCGTAATCCCCCACGAAACTCGTTTCTGTGAGAGACTCGCATCCTTTCCCCCGCCCTCCTCTTCTTTCCCTTGAATTATTTAGGGAGCCACAAAGTCTTGTGCGCAATAAATAGCTGCAGTTCCACCAGCGGCTCCTCTGCGGGTTTTGGAAGGGAAGAGAAGACCCAGGAGCGTCCCCCTCCTTGGCAGAGGGAGCCCTTGCTGTGCTCGCCCTTTCTTCCTCCCGACTCTCCTTTTCATCGTTGCCCCCTTCCCTAGCTCTCCCCCCCCTCCAATTGCCCGCACTACCGCACTAGACAAGGCCATGTCTCTTTTTCTGCCTCCTGTTATTTATTCGCTTCCTCTCCATCGCCAAACGCACACACCGGCAGGAGAGGCGTCCAGGTTTTTGTCCCTCCGCCTCCTTGTTGCGTGTCACATACACATTTCCACTCCCGCCTCCATCCTCCCTGAAAGGTGGGCTCCCATCTTTTTACCTCCTTCCGTGTCAGCTTGGAACTGCCCTTTGCATCATTGTAGGTAAAGGTCTGCATGCGAAGCCCTGCCACCTTCTCTTGCACCCTGGTAGTGACCTCTCATTCTGGGAAGTGTTAGTATTTGAGGGTGTGGTTCCCACCCACTCCTTTTCGTGTGAATGTTGTGGGAACGAGTTTAAAAAGATTTTGTTGACAAATAGGTTGAGGCTGTAGTTGCAAATACTGACTGACTGACATTGGTGACACAAATTTTATTATGTGGTTGTAAAGTTACTGAGGCTGATAGTAAAAAATTTATTAAAGTTTTCAGAAATTAAAGGGATAATGATTTAAGAAAATTGAAGTACTGTACTTCACAGACATGGGGTTGTAAAATCATGCTGTATTCCCAAGTGGGTTAGTAATATATAGGGAAACATTCTAATACATGTTCTATTTGTTTAGATAAACTTTTTACCCCAGTACTCTGGTTTTTACACATAACACAGAAGTAATAAATACCGAGGTACTTTATTCACTAGTAGGAACTGAGTCATGGGAACATATAACATGTAAATTGCAGATCATTAGGAAAAGCTCACCAGTTCAGCACATTAACTTTCAGAGGTGAATAGTTGCGTCCTTAATATAGACATTACTCTTTTGGTCTGTGGAATAAAATATCTTATAATAGCAAATATGGATGAATCCCTAATTAAACTTTATTGGACGGTGAACTTCTGAAATACGAGCATGCAGAATACTAAATGTTTTTAAACGACGGGAAAATATTGGAGATTACTTTTCTTAATGGTTGCAAAATGATTGCTGTTTAAGTGATTCCTCACATGATACAAGTGGGTAAATTAAACACTAAAGAAAGAGTTTTTTAAAAAAAACTTACGTCCACATGCCCTTGGGGGGGGGGGAAAGAAGGATAGCTTGGTATTTGAATAAAGTGGTTACATGTACAAATGTACAAATAGACAAACCATAAATAAACTGATATTGAGGGTGTGGCATAGAGGCTTGTGTGATCTTCTACTGATACTTGAATGAAGAAGAGCTGCAGTGTACACTTTATCTTTCAGACTCTGATTTTAATTGTCCTTCAGTTCTTGATTTCTAAACAAGTAAAAGATATTATGTGATTGATCTAGATAGAATTCTGCTGTTCATATACTTGGCCAGTATTCTGTTATTTCCTCTTTTAAGAACATTAAAAACATAGGTATATCAAAACAGGTTACAAGGACATGATGGCATAGTACACATTTACTAAGGTGAACTTGTTAATTTAATATGAAAATTTATTTGAGCAGATGATAGACCACACCATACGTTCCCCACCAAACTGCACCATATTTGTAAGCTTTAAAACAATATTAATAGTAATAATAAAGGTAATAAAATATAAAGTGCCTAAAACATTCTGTTCATCAAGAAATAAAAGCCCTGAGGTTATATGGGAGTAGTAGAAAGCCTCATTATTAGGCATTAGAAGAGAAAACTAAAGGGAAATATTTGGTGTGTTATAAACTTAGTTCTTGAGATATCAATATTTGATTCATACTTTAATTTTATGAGACAACTTGAATTTTCCTAAGAGACCTCTCTATGCTTGAAGCTCTGCAAATCTTTTTGAGGGCCTATGGGGATGTTTAATGCTGGGATGTAAACCAAAGTAAAGCATTTCCCACACAAGTTACTTTCCTGGTGACTTATGAAACTTGTTGCATATTGGTTAAATACATTTGCACTTTTGTGTGACATTACATTCTGGGCAAGGCAACATACAAGTTTTTCATTGCTTTTTGTTATGGATAAAATTAAAATTCTGAATAAGAATTCTCATATTTTCCTGATATATTAATATTGTGATATATAAAGTTAAAGTATAGTTATATATTTTCATATAAAAGTAGATTTCAGTATGAATTGGGAATGTACAGCATATCCCCCCATCTATATCTAGGGCCAAATTAGACTTCAGTGTACTGTACTTCTGTATTATCTTGCAAAGTTTTTTTAAATAAACATTTTATCTCCAAGGGAAGGGGTGATAATTAACTGGTTTAGAATGAGAGTACAGGAGAAATGTAACCCTTTCCTTCCACTGTTGTGATCCAAAGGAAAGGATTCCACTTCCAATTTGCTTCAATTCTGGAGGTATTTATCTTCTTTCCCCAATCTAATGTATATTGGAAAAAATACATGTAAAATGCAAAGACCCATTTAATGTCACATCTGTTCAGGTCTCAGATTGGTTCTTCAATTTATTAGCATTCCTCTGCCACTTCCATCAACCAAAATACTTATCAACACGATTAAACAACAAGGTGGATGTATTTTGTAATAATTGTGCAAAAACCTTTCTTCATTAATTAAGAAATACACATATTGTAAATGGAAAATGTATAGTTGACGTTCCAAAAATCTTGTGGGATATGATTTGCATTAATTTGGGTCATCTCGAGGGCATTTTCAACTGATAGTGAGACTTTAAAGATGAGATCAGTTCCCTTCACATGTATAAGATATGTAGGATTTTGTGTTAAATTTCCTGGGTCTAAAAGTTTTTTAAATGTAGCTCAGAAATCATTGTCCTCCTGCATACGAAGAAAGCATGGGAGAAACAAAAACAAAACAACTCCCCTTTTTCCAGTTTTGATTCTTCAAGAGTAAAAATGTTACAGTCATTTTTGTGTGCGTGGCTAATGATCTATAAGCTGGTAAACTATTGAGTTCTGTGACCAGCATCTTGCCACTTGTACTGTCCAGCTTTAAGTCCATTGGTGTATGATCTTAGCAGCAATTTGCCACTAAGTGTTTCAGCATGACGATAAACTAATTTACTGCTAAAATTTATGCTGTCATATTTTTCAGTTGGATCCAACCAACAAATTTAATTTTAAGTAGATGTGCATATGTTCTGTTAACATACAGCAGTAGGTTTGGTCAGCTTCTGGCAAGTTGCTGTCTCTCAGCCTCTTAACATACATGGCTCTGGTAATGATTGTTGAGATAAGTTGTGAAGTATTTTGATACAGATATGTGGATGATGATGATTAACATGTTTATATCTGAAAATACTTCATTATGGATATAGACATGCTGAGAACTGTTACTACTGCTGGCCAGAGCTGTGAAGCTAGCAAGATAGCTCAGTGAGTTAGGTCACTGGCTGTGGAGCCAAAGATTGGGAGTTCAGTTTTCCATTGTGTATCACAGAAGAGTCAGCTTGTGTGGCATTCAGGAAGCTGCACAGTGTCAGGATGCTTCCAGAAGAAACGAATGGTAAACCACTCTCTGAGCACTCTCTAACTAAAACAGGTTGTCATATAGTATAAGTCAGCATTGACTTGATGGCACACATATCACAGACAAGACTGAAAATTTCTATTTCAAAACGCTGTGTATCTTTTCTCAGTAATCTTTACAACAGTTCGGGAGGATAAGAGACTTAGAAAAGGTGCTTGCTTAAAGTCACCCAGCAATTTAAAATGAAAACTCACTTTCTGGAGATAATGTGGCTGTAGGGGTAGACATTTTTGATGGAGACAAATGAACATGCTGTTTTATACTCAGCATACATCTTTGGTCCCAAGACAATTGTTTCAAACTTCTTATCTTTATATAGGTAACACTTAGCTGCACATTTTGGGTGGAATTTGGTACATGCAATTATATCAGTACAGTATGTGTTTGAGAAGGAAAACATGTTCCCTGTTTTTATATTTTATTTCTTAATGCCTTTTAGTATACCTTGATCTGATGCAGAATAAGAACTACTAAGTTCTAGAAATAGTAAGAATCAGCTAGAAACTGCATCCTCTTCAGAAGAAATCTCCTTTATATATGAGGAATATTATATTTGAGGAAAAGTTGAATTATCTAATCACCTTTGACGTATTTTACTCGCAGACCTATAGTGTAAAATAGGGGCTCAGAAAGTGTAACCTTCCAGATGTTGTTGGACTGCAACTTCCATCACTCTTAGCTAATATATCCAGGGGAGAC